CCAAGCCCGTGGACCCGACTGTGGAGGGGGGTGCGCAGGTGCAGCAGGTGGTCAACATAGAGTGCGTGTCTGACTTTACGGAGGCGCCAGTCCTCAACATTCAGTTCAGGTAAGAGCCATCTGTGCGCCCCGGGCCAAAGATTGTGTGGGCGCCTCAGCTGTGTGCCTGGCCTCCATGACTGTGCCCCCATGTCCTTCCTGAGGGGACCCAGGGCATGTGGGTACTCATGGTGCATGGATGCGACCTGAGCTGTTGCTGCCCTCAGCTCTGCAGAGCGCAGGAAACAAGGGGAGATGAAGCCCCGGGCTGTGGGATGGCAGGTGGCAGCTCCCACATGGGGCCTTGCTAGGATCTTTCTGGGCACAACGGGGCCTACCTCATGGGGTAGCAGACAGCCAGGGCCACATGCCACCTGCCCGGCTTGGTACCAGACAACCGTTGCGAGGTGAAGGCAGCTGGCTTCCTTCGGACCCTGGCCTGAGGGGTGCGTTTTTTGCACAGTTGGACTCAGATCATACCACTTTGCTTATTTTTTAAAAGCAGGAGATTTTCCTGTTGCAACTGTTGCTTACTCTCACTTTTCAGTGGCTACAATAGCGTGTACACAGTCAGCGCGTACCCTGCTGGGTGTCTGCAAGGTTATGAATGTTGAGAAAAGCACACTTTCTAACATTAAAAATACAGAGAACTTAAGGATTGTATACTGTAGAATTTGGGGACATAGACATGCAAATTTTTGTTTCATTCTTTGTGCAAATGCCTTTGCCTTTTTAAAGAAAAAAAAATCACACTATTTGCACAGACTTGGTGTTCTGAGAAACAGATAGATGGGGAGAAGTGAGGCACAGGGGCGTCCTGCCTGTGTACGTGGCCCTGGCCTATCCTGTCTGTGGGTGACACTGTACACTGAGCCACACATGGTCTGTGGAGACTCAAGGCTCGGCTCCCCACGCTCTGGTGGGTGGCGGTAGGTGGGGACGCTTCTCACTCCAGGCTCTTTTCCGATCCCTGGGGCTCTCAGAGGAGGAGCTGACTGTCCCTCGGCTCTTTCCTGGCCCCTGGGGCTCTCAGAGGAGGAGCTGACTGTTTCTTTCTGCTGCTGCTGCTGGCAGGTATGGGGGCACCTTCCAGAACGTGTCTGTGCAGCTGCCCATCACTCTCAACAAATTCTTCCAGCCGACAGAAATGGCTTCTCAGGATTTCTTTCAACGTTGGAAGCAGTTGAGCAAGTGAGAAACCTGTTGTCCTGTAGGGGTCGGGGGTGGGGATGGGGGTCATTTGAACAGATGGGCTTTGGTCTCTGGCCTGGCTGAGAAACTCGCCTTTGCTGTTTCTCACAGTCCACAGCAGGAGGTGCAGAACATCTTCAAAGCAAAGCACCCAATGGACACAGAAGTCACCAAAGCCAAGGTAGGGCATCTGGAGGGACGGCCCCGGGGACACGCTGCCCGCAACCCAGCGCCAGAGTCTGGAGGGACGGCCCCGGGGGACGCGCTGTCCGTGACCCAGCGCCAGG